GCAACTCATCCACACACATGCACAACTCAATGCAACTCATGTATCGACGCGCCTTGTGCAACCAGTCGGTTGCTGCGGTACACGTGCAGCGCGAAGAGAAAAGCGCCTGGCTGCTCTTGCTCAGTGCAGCAACAATGTTAAGCATGAGGACAAGAAAGACGGCGACGATGACAAGGACTGGGACACAACAAAACCAATTGCACGAAACGCGATGAGGGCCGCGACATGCAACTCAAAGAACAAATGCAGGTGTTTATGCAAATGACACTACCCGTGCCAGGCATGAATGCAAGAACGCCTGCACGCACACAAATAAATGTATATATATATATTATATATATATATATGTAGGTGTCAGCTTTTAGGGGAACCCCCCCTCCCCAAATTATATATATATACATAATATATATATATATGATTGTCCGTTTGGTTTCCCCTTAATAACGCCAAAAAAGGGTACCCTCAAAACAGATGCATTTTGGTTCTGCGCTTCGAGCGAGTGCAAGATGCCTGCCTGCGACGGCCAAGGCTTCCCCAGGAATGCCCTGAAGGAAAGCCTGGCAGGAGGGAAGAGATTCGCGGCAAATGGGAAAATTCGATTCAGACGCATGGTGCGTTCGTTTCAGGGCACCCATTTTTAGGGAGGTTGCTGGTTCCCCCCATTCTGAGACCCATCATATGGCTGTGGGTCAAAACCAATGGTACCATTTTGGGGTAGGTATGGGTAGGTGCACCACGCATTTTTTAGTCTATTTTAGTGGTTGGATTGGTTGGTATCGCACTTGGGCTACGAGATGCTTCTATCGCATCGACTCAGCGGAGCGGGCGGGGTTTGAATGGTCTGATGGCGCCACAAGCCTTGTAGAATGCTGCAAGGTGTGGAGCGGAGTACATGCCCTAAAAAGCCCAACATCTGTTGCATGAGAACATCTGCTAGGTGCAGTAGAAAGGCTGGAATAAGGGTACCCGATCTTTTTTCTGTAGTCTATTTTAGTAGGGGAACCCTCCCAACCAAAAAAGGGTAAAGGGGCACTACTGGGGGTCCTAGTCTGAAAAGACACATTTCATGCAGTGCTCGAATTGGAGCTGTAAAGATTCGGAGATTCCGGTCCTCTGGCAGCACTCAGGCTCACCTTGCGAAGAAAAACAAGCACACACACAGATCAGCCTCGAAGCGCACTTCAGCACGCTTGATGTTCATCGGGCTGCAAGCATTGCCACTTCAACCCATGCCACAAAGGCCACATCTTGATGGGCCATCCCCAGCATGAAGGGGAAGAGGGCTTGGTCGTCGACAGAGTTCTATTTCTCTCGTCGGGAAATGGTGCCGGGCAGCCGCACCTCGTGGGGCATCTTGCCGCGGGGCTCCAGAAGCTTGATGAAGTTCCAGAACCTCGGCGGACGAGGGCTGCGGCAAACGAGGGCTGCCCATGCGACGAAACGCGGCTCGCATGGGGACCCATGCGTGGGCCTCGCGCCTAGGAGCCGAACCTGTGATACCACAACTTCCAACCAGAACCTCCGCGGGGAGAAGGGGCAGGGGGGAAAAAATTGGAGACCTGTGGTTGATATAACGGAAAGGCTTCCAACCCCAAAGCCCCCCCCGCAGATCTCTCAAGGAACAAAATGCAACGAAAGTAGCGCACGGGTAGATAAACCCCGAGTGATCCAGCAACCCTGTACTCGACCCAAGCAACCAACAGTGGAGAAACCCCTAGTGATCCCCGCAACCCTCTCGACCCAAGCGACCAAGCAGTAGGCTGAGCGGGTAGCACAGAAGTGGGGTCGGAGAAACCCCGGGTGATCCCGCAACCCTCTCGACCCAAGCGACCAACAGTAGGCTGAGCGAGTAGCACAGAAGTGGGGTCGGAGAAACCCCGGGTGATCCCGCAACCCTCTCGACCCAAGCGACCAAGCAGTAGGCTGAGCGGGTAGCACAGAAGTGGGGTCGGAGAAACCCCTAGTGATCCCCGCAACCCTCTCGACCCAAGCGGCCAAGCAGTAGGCTGAGCGGGTAGCACAGAAGTGGGGTCGGAGAAACGCCGGGTGATCCCGCAACCCTCTCGACCCAAGCGACCAAGCAGTAGGCTGAGCGGGTAGCACAGAAGTGGGGTCGGAGAAACTCCGAGTGATCCCGCAACCCTCTCGACTTAAGCGACCAAGCAGTAGGCTGAGCGGGAAGCACAGGAGTGGGGTCGGAGAAACCCCGGGTGATCCCGCAACCCTCTCGACCCAAGCGACCAAACAGTAGGCTGAGCGGGTAGCACAGAAGTGGGGTCGGAGAAACCCCGAGTGATCCAGCAACCCTCTCGACCCAAGCGACCAAGCAGTAGGCTGAGCGGGTAGCACAGAAGTGGGGTCGGAGAAACCCCGAGTGATCCAGCAACCCTGTACTCGACCCAAGCGACCAACAGTAGGCTGAGCGGGTAGCACAGAAGTGGGGTCGGAGAAACCCCGGGTGATCCCGCAACCCTCTCGACCCAAGCGACCAACAGTAGGCTGAGCGGGTAGCACAGAAGTGGGGTCGGAGAAACCCCTAGTGATCCCCGCAACCCTCTCGACCCAAGCGACCAAGCAGTAGGCTGAGCGGGTAGCACAGAAGTGGGGTCGGAGAAACCCCGGGTGATCCCGCAACCCTCTCGACCCAAGCGACCAACAGTAGGCTGAGCGAGTAGCACAGAAGTGGGGTCGGAGAAACCCCGAGTGATCCCGCAACCCTCTCGACCCAAGCGACCAAGCAGTAGGCTGAGCGGGTAGCACAGAAGTGGGGTCGGAGAAACCCCGGGTGATCCCGCAACCCTCTCGACCCAAGTAGGCTGAGCGGGTAGCACAGAAGTGAGGTCGGAGAAACCCCTAGTGATCCCCGCAACCCTCTCGACCCAAGCGGCCAAGCAGTAGGCTGAGCGGGTAGCACAGAAGTGGGGTCGGAGAAACCCCGGGTGATCCCGCAACCCTCTCGACCAAAGCGACCAAGCAGTAGGCTGAGCGGGTAGCACAGAAGTGGGGTCGGAGAAACCCCGAGTGATCCCGCAACCCTCTCGACTTAAGCGACCAAGCAGTAGGCTGAGCGGGAAGCACAGGAGTGGGGTCGGAGAAACCCCGGGTGATCCCGCAACCCTCTCGACTTAAGCGACCAAGCAGTAGGCTGAGCGGGTAGCACAGAAGTGGGGTCGGAGAAACCCCGAGTGATCCCGCAACCCTGTACTTGAGCCAATCTATCCGCCATCCACCCAAGCAGTAGGCTAACCTCCAGCGAAAAGGGCTTCCAATGCAGTGTTTCCAGGAAGAGCATCGCACTCAGACACGTCCATTGCCGGAGCCATTCATGGCTTGCCCCAACTATACAGGGGTGTTGATAATTACAAACACACACACACACACACATGCGATTCTCCTGTGATGCTCGGGAAATCTGGTTTATTCTGGTTGATTCCGTACCATCCCCATTCTACCCTTCCTCCCACAAACATAGCACATGCGGGAGGATGCTGGAAGATCAGTTTCCTCCAAAAACAACTCCTCTGTCAGGTGCCATGCCACCAATTAACATGGAACCTGACGTTCGGGACCGGGTCCCTTTAAAAGGAAACTGGTCCAAACCAGGACCCCCCGAAACGTCGAACGGTTCGATCTTACCCCCTACTCCAAATACCCTCCTTTTTCAAAACCAGGTTCTCCAAAAATAACATGAAACAAGCGGGTATTTTGAGTAGGGGGTACTTGGTGGGTAGCTCCTTTGGACTTACACGTCCGAAGATGACACAAATCGCCCCAAGGGGCTGCTCGAAAAGGCCACGGACTGCGTCTGGAGGTGCCTCCAAATGAAAGCGCGCAGGGGGCGGTCCCCACCAATTGGTGCCCGTTTTCGACCATTTTTCCAGGTCCGGTAGGGCCATTACCTGGAGTCTCCATGATCCTTTTGAAATGGGGTCATTACCCCAAATTGAGGTGTTATGACCCCTTTTTCTAGGGTCATGGAGACTCTAGGTACCAAGGGTGCCTTTCTTAGGGTTCTGGTATTCCGATGCTGACTTCACTTCGAGGCATCGACATCGAAATCAAACGCCTGGCCTTGGCCAAACTGGGAGCGGACACAAAGAGGGCGATGCCTGCGCGCTCGACCGCTCGACCGACGGCCGCGTCAACTAGAAAATCTGCTTGCAGCAGTGACATCGATTCCCCTCAAAAGCCAGGGGAAAATGACAAATAAATCCATTTCAGCACATTGAAGCTACTCCCTTCAAAGAGGAATCCCCTCCTCCCGCAAACAGAAGCTTCTTCCTCCAAACAGAAGACCCCTTGCGGGGGATTGTACCTGGAAGCTTCCTCTGAACGACTTCATGGTGTACGATACGTCAGGGCCAGGCAATCACGAGTATCTCCATGAGTCATTCCCGGCTTTTTGGAGTTACCAAAAGAATCTACAGAGGGCAATAACTCATTCATTATATAAGGGTAGTTCTTTCGGGTTCAGGTAGATTGAATGGACAAATCATGTTGGCACTCTTTGGCAATTTGGCCAAGAAGAGCTACAGCTAGGACTCCAGATTGCCAGCAAACATTTGCCATCAAGGTCTGTCTACCCATCCTTCTCGGTCTGAGAAAACCGAGGCCCCGGGGGAGAAATTGCCGCTTGCATGGCCTGCGAAAGTGCCCGCAGAGCAAAGAGCCACCAGCGGGGAGAAGGGCTTCTTGTCGATCAAGAACTCCAGGATCTGCCAGGATTTGACAGTCAAAACCAATGGTACCATTTTGGGGTGCGTGCACCAGCCATTTTAGTCTACTTTAGTGGGCATTGGGATGTTCACTGGGGGTACGGGAATTGTGACCCATGGCCAACCATTTCTTTTATGTGGGGGTTGGCAGGTGAGGTGCTCTGAGGCAGCGCCAAAGGAAGAAAAAGGCAAGGAAGCGTCCAACGTGGTAAGTTCGCAAAAGAGGGGCTTGCAGGTGATGGGCATAGGTGACTTCTTTTTTCAAATTGCGTGGGTTTGCCTGGTAAATGGAATAACACCAATCTAAACCAGTGCTATCTACTGTGGATGGACGAAATCCTGCACCACCTAAGAAATCGTAGAATGAGGATTCCCCTGTACATACCAACAAAGAATGGTTTCCCATGTTTTTCAGGTGGTGCCAAATGAATTCCATCCATCCACAGTATGTCTAACCAAACTAACCTAGAATGACTCCTATGGTGATGGGTTATCAGATATCAGGTGGATCAGCTATGGAAGTGACTACTTGGCTGTGAGCTTTTGTCAGGAGAAAGGGCTTTCGTCAGGAGAAATTTCTGTTAAACGATAAGGCTCCGGTTTCTTGCCAACTGCTGCTTGTAGGTGTGTTTAATGTGTGTGCTTCTTTGTATGCTTGGTTTTCGTGTCGTGTCCTTGTGCCCTAGTTGTTTTGATGTGTCTTATGAGTCTGCTGCTATGGTTGAGTGTTGCTGTTGTTTGTTTGATCTCGCCCTTTGGGTTGGCTGCGCGTGTTGATTAGTGTTCTTTGCTTTTGCTTTGCGAAGCCACACTTTACACGGACCTGGAAAGATCCTGGAAAGCCTGTGCTGAGACAACAACCTAGAGGAATCCATCTTGGAGGACCTCCAGGAGGAAAATCAACATGGGTTGATCCATATTCCGTTTAGGGCAACCCCAAATGACCAGGGGGAACTTCTCCCATTTAGAGGAGGACATATCATCCTTTTGGTAGTTTTCCAACCAATGATCATCCAATGTATCACGGACCTTTTGATCAAGGTCCATATGTGGGAGTACTCCAAGAAACCCGCCGCATGTCTAACTCACCGTTGTCCGCCATGTCGAACGGCTACAGTATATGCAGCTGTACCTTCGATTCAGCGGCCATGTGCTAGCCCTGGCACAATGTGGAGACTTGCTGACTGGAAGGCTGTAAGCTGTGGCGTTGGCATTTCTTCGGAGTTTCAAACATAAACAAACAAAACAGCACCCATCCGTACTTTTTTCACCTTGGTTTAAAGGGAACACGCAACACGAAAGGAACACCGCGAAAGCATGTGTCCTATTGGACAAAATTGATGGCTCTGGTAAATGACAAGAACCAAAGGGAAACCAGTGCCATCAACTTTCAAACAAACTAACATCCGAACAGGACACCTATGAGCAAAAGTATGCAACATGTGGGCCCCCGATTTCGATATCTATCTTTCCATCCCTTGGTATGGTAGCAACAAACCCCTGCTGAAGAAGACCAGAGCCTAAGAGCATCTAAAAAATCTAAAGCCATGCCGACAACCCTGAAGTATCTATCCTCAATGCAAACCCACCCTGCAAGGATGATTCACTCGAAAATACCAATAAATCACGGTTTCCTTTTTGGTGCAATTGTATGTCCCCACCCAGAGTATCTATCTTCAAATCCAAACCCACATTGGTTTGTGTGCTTAGTGGCGGCATTTCCTTTGCCTTAAACCAACGCCAAACCACAGCTAGGTCCTCCATTAGAAAAGATAGAATAAGGGTAATTACCCTTCTTTCTGTCGTCTATGTTGTTGCGGGAACCCTCCCCACAAAAAAAAATAAGTGGGTGAGAAAGGTTGCTCCGTTCGCTGGGGGACCTAGTTTTCCTTTAAACAAAAGCACAAAAAAGAGATAAATATAACAACAAAAAATAAACAACCAAAAACAACAACAACAAACAAACCACCTGGGGGGTAATTACCCCCAGGGTTCGGACGGCTATCGGCCGATCCGCTCCGCTCCGCTCCGCCGCTCCCCCGCTCGCTCCGGCGGCGATCCTGAACGAAGGGCCCGGTGAGCGCCGAGGCCACCGCGCAGGTGGACGCCGAGGTCTTCTCCAGGCCCTGGCGCCGCGCCGTCGAACGGCGTCGAACGTGCCCACGCGGCCGTCGAAGTCGAGCGTGGAACGAGCGGGCGGCAAAAGGCCGGGGGAAGGGGTGCCCCCCCCCCTCCGTAACCTCCAAATGCCCGGGGGACGGCCCGATTTTTGTGTTTTTTTCAGTTGGTCTCATGTGGCTGTGGCGTCAAAAGCAGGTTCCAACAATGGCTTGCCCTGGCAAATGGAATGGGCTAAACCTGCAGGCCCCCCGGTGGTTTAATTTTGACCCATACCCACGTCGACCCTCTACTAAAAAGGGAGGTATTTACCAGGGAAAACCGATTGGTTTTCCCAAACATACCCAGAAAAAAAGGGCATTTGGAGTAGGGGGTAGGTGGAATGAAGGTGGAATGGAAAATCAATCCCGTAGGAATGAAGGTGGATGGAGTAAATGGGTGGCTCGCTTTTGTTTGAGTTGGTACCCCTTTGTTTGGTGGTGGATGGACCAAACTTGGGTGCTTGGCATGCCATGAAACCTAGGAAGGTGTTCAAGGAAAGGTGCACTTGCTGCTGTCTGTGTGTCTGTTTTTGATTTTGTAGCCCTTTTGTGTAGTTTTCACGGGGAACCAAAACGGAAAGCCACAGTTTTGTGACCCATGGGGTTTTTCCAGCCACACTGGTGGACTTTGTCCATCCATGGTGGGCTAAGTGAGTAAGTCCAAAAATGCTCAGTGAGAGCCGTGTCTGCTGTTGTCATTCACTTTCTCTGGGAGTGCCAGTTTGATCGAATTATTAAAAAACAAATCATAATACCCTTCGAAAACGAATCCTATAACTAATAATCTATAAATTGAATTCGGGCAGCATCAAATAAATCCAAAATTTGGGGGCTCCAGGTACCTGTTGCGTAAGCAATCATTTCTCCAAACGGTAGGCTCCGACATTGAGAGCAAAAGCCCTTTGAATCAGGGACAAACATGTTGTGTCAGGCTGAAAGCTTGAAAAGCCAACCAACTTGAAAGCAAGCTGGGCGTGTTGTTTTCGAGGATACGCTCTTTGTTTGGCGGTTTTAGAGGGGAACAAAAGAGCAACCGCCAACCTTGGGTCCCCTATTTAGAGACACATCCAGCTAGCTACTTCATCTTGTTTCGCTATCTCCCCGCTGACTCCGGCTGCTCGTTAGCACTATTGTAGTTTCTGGTGCTAGACGCGGGGCATGTTTTCCTATGTTCACAGACTTCGCCTCACGAGCGGAAAAAAAAACAGAACATCAGAGGCCACTGCGGGTTTTCTTGGGCACAGCGGCTTTTCGCTCACGGCCAACCCAACTTGGATCGCCCGCAAAGTCCCGCGAGAAGCTTCTTGCAGAGAAATGTCAATTTGAAGATACAAAGCAAACATAACGCCCCAAAGGTGGGAAGCAGACAACCACCTCAACTTCTCAAAGCTTGTGGTTTCTTGCCTAAAATGAGGACCAACATTCCTAAACTCAATGTGTTAGACCTAACGCCAGAACCAGTTACACACTTCACACCCTGCTTTGCGGGGCAAACATCCTTCCAGACTTGCAGCTCTAGGTTCTCCAGTAGAGAGGTTAGAATAAGGCCACCCTTTTTTCTGCAGTCTATTTGCATAGGGGAACCCTCCTAACCAAAAAAGTTGGTCAAAGTTGGCACCTAGCTGGGGGACCTAGAGTTGGTCTAGCGCTTCTGCCAAACACCGCCGGCTTGGCCAGGATCTGCAGCGCGTAGCCTGCAACAATTGCGGTGGGGATTCCACAAATAAGGCTCACGAGATGCGTGGTCTTTCAAGATGTCCATGGCCAAAAAATATGTCCAAAATGATAAAGCAAAATATAGATCGTCCAACTTGGCGCCTTGGCGTTTGGGCAAAGCACCTGGGCCATGCATGAATACCTAACTTGGACTCACCACCAAGCCATACACCATGTGTGGTATTCCCGTGCAAAGCTCGGCAACTCCAATTGGAGCCAATGTGGTGGTCGAAACGCAGCAAGGGGCGGTTAGATTCGTTCTCATCGATATAGGGTCAAAACCGATCGGTAAATTAATTAGCCGGGACACAGAACAATGCAAGGAATTAAACAGGCGAGTTTCCGCACACATTTGCGGGGATGGGAATATCCCTTACCTTCATCTACGGCTTTGAACACGTGGCTCTCTTGGGTTCATAAAAGTGCTAGAGGTGATGCTCATGGACGCCACCGCCCCAGGGTGGAAAACCTGGGCTGTCCGTTTTCTGATCCGCTAAAAGTGACGAGCTTTTAGTGGGTGAAATGGAAATCCAACCAGACACTAAAAAGCTGAAGGGATGGCTGGGACCGGATGGCGAGCCAAGAAACGTTGGCCATGTGCATATAGCAACCGGAGCTCATGCCCTGCAGCATGCGGATGGCCTTGCGGGACCTCGTAGGCGCCAGCGAGTTTTTCTGCCATTGCCGCGATGCATGGGTATCCCGCGGCGCTGGGCGGGCGCATACAGCAGGTGAAGTGCTCGCACTGCCATTCACCCAGAGGCTCCTGATTGATTTAGGGGCTTCAAACAACCTGGTTTTGAGACCCTCGAAATCCGAGGCTGTTGTCATCTTCCGGCTCCTATGGGCCGCATGCTCAAGGCCGCTCAGGCTGGCGTGCAGCACTTGCCAACGAGGAAATGCCTTCTCGTACTCAGACGAGCCCTCGAAATGTGCGAGAAAGGTGTTCAGATTGCTGGCCACCCGAGGATTGATCGGGACTGAACGTGAACATAACGTCAGTGATGTGGCCATGGGCTCAAAATCCGAATCGTACCCCCAGTGAACATCCCAGTCCCCACTAAAATAGGTTCTAACATGGGAGGTGGATTCACCTACCCCAACATGGTACCAAAACGATTTTGACCCACAGCCATGTCTTCTTATCGCCGCTGGCAAGTCTCAGGAGCGAGGCCAGCCGACGGAGGAACGCCCTCGTTGACCAGCTGCCGCATCGTGCTCACGGCTTGGCCACGTCCATGCCCTCGGGCTGAGGGGACGTGGTGCGGACACGAAGGTCAACTTAGACTTCCAGATCCAACGTCTCCGCTTGCATCCTGCGACAGCTTGCTGTCCACCTCCTCCACTGTGTGTTGTGGTGCTAACGTGGACTCGTACTTTGGCTATCTCTGGGGCCAAAGAAGGCCAAGACTGTCCTCCTTGTCTCAGTGCAAAGAGAAGCCATGAGTCAAAGCACCCGGGCCATAGCTGGAATGAGAGTTTGGCTTCGGCTGATGGCTTGATCCAAAAGTGTCATCGTCTTTCTGCTGGGCATCAGCAATGCAACGGTTTGCATGTTCATGATCGGACAGCCTGATGCAGACGTGTTTTAGTTATCGTCATCATCATCATCGTCTACGCCATCATCATCATCATCATCATCATCATCATCATCATCATCATCATCATCATCGCCATCATCGCCATCATCGCCATCATCGCCATCATCGCCATCATTGTCATCATCGTCATCGTCATCGCCATCGTCATCGCCATCGCCATCGTCATCGTCATCGTCATCGTCATCGTCATCGTCATCATCATCATCATCATCATCATCATCATCATCATCATCATCTGAGAAGCAACGCCTGGCAACAAAACCAAAACAAGCTATGCAGAACGTAATGTGAAGCCTTTGCCACACACACACACACACGCACACGCAGGCCACGCACACGCAGGCCGCGCAGCACACACACACACACAAATGAATGTACATGGCCTTAATCCGGAACCCCCTCCAAAGTGGTTCCAAAGTGGTTGGTGCACATGGATCCCCCCTAAATGGTGTCCACCAAAGGGCTCCTTAGCCGGACTTGTTGTGGTCGGCGTGAGCAGTAGCGGTGGTACCTGGGGGGATTTGCACCGCCCCAACTTTGATGGCCCGACCAGGTCTACCGTCCGAGCATCGCGCAACTCCATACCATCGCCTAAAGACCCCCTATTAAAATTCAGACCCTCACACGTCTTCTCTGACCTTTGGGGGGTTCCAGTCTCTCGTGCCTAGGAAGAGCCACATCGCCAGCTCCACGGAGGGGCCAAGCAGCGTCCACACCTCACGTTTTCGGCTCGGCACCGGCTGGGCGCATAGCCCAGGCGAGAACCACTGAGGGTTACCAATGAACAGCCGGAACCTGACAGGGGGGTTTCTTTACAAGGAGGATAGTCCAAACCACACGAAGGTCAGGTTCCATGTTGATTGCGTGGGCAGCTGGCAGTGGGTCTCCCCATTTTTTGCAGCATTCGCACAAAGGTCTGCCTTGGTTAGAATATTGGAACCAGAACACGCATGTTTGACAGCTTCTCGCCGCAGCTTGCTTTGCAACCTCGGATTTCCGGCGATCTAGAAGCAGCTGCGTGTGGACTGCTATGGCGGAAATGTGTCTACACAATTCCCTTTGGCAGTGATTCGGTGCTTGCGGGAACTAAATTAGAAACATGTTCCGGCACATGTTTGCGGCATGCAAATGCTTTCACGCGTTTTCGCAGAACACCGCAGAACAAGTCGCAGGGCTTTTAAACTCTTTCGACCCAGGGCGTGCTGGTTCTGCTGATCGCGTGGCTAAATTAGCTGGTCAACAGTCCCTACAGTATGTGGCTCTCGACACTCAGGAGCCCATACCTCGGTTGCGAAATCTGCTCAGCTAAAAGTGAATAACTTTGAGTGGTTTACTGGGAAAGACCCAATAACCTGGACCGATCCCTTTTTTCTGCCCTTGTACCCCTTTTTTTTGGGTCCTTTGGCAGAAAAAAGGAATCGGTCCTTTGGGGGTCCAGGAATGTTGGCAAAAAGTTCGTTGGCTGTGGCTCAAAAACCCGGGATCCCAAAAATGGGTTGCCCTGGTAAGTGGAAACATGGACCAAAACCTGCGGTTTGCCCCTCCTGGTTAATTTGGAGCCACACCCAGTTGGTCCTAACATCCCTTGGCAAAACGCACCAACGATTGTCTCCTGGCCATGGGGGATGGTCTTCTCGGATACGCCGCGCCTGTCTGTAGTTCGTCACGAAGAAGGGGATGGACACCACCTTCAGGAAAGGCGCTAGAGCGGATAGTTTAAAACAGGTCCGACTTGGTATCCTAGGTCCTCCAGTAGATATAGAGAGGTTGCAAAAAAGGGTACCCTATTTTTCTGCAGTCTATTTTAGTAGGGGAACCCTCCGGGGACCTAGTATCAATCAAGTTACATCAACTTGCCATTCGCCAACTCATAAAGACATCACCGCGAAAGCTACCGCTGCGAGGCGAAGGCGGAGCAGCCCATCTCTCGTGAGACTGATGAGTGGCGCTGCTCGCATGTCGCGGTGCGAAAAGATCTGAAGCCAGGCTACCGCTGGGCTGCCCTCAGATCCCCGCTCAAAGTTTAACTTTTAGCAGGTTGGATGGAAGTCCCCACTAAACACTAAAAAGCTAAAAAGCTAAGGGGATGGCTGGGAAGCACTGAGTATTCATTCCGGAGACTGTCCCACGCATGGCGGTGACGTTTTGGGGTGAGTGTCAAGCCTCGACATGCAAATGCCCGGCTGGACTTACTTCTGTTGCGCACTACGTGTAAATCGCAGAAAGGAACTACATTAACAGCCATGATAGCACTGCCTTCATGTTTTCAGGAGACGGATGTGGGTCAAAATAGGTACCCAAAAATGGATTGCCCTGGAAAATGAAAGCAAGCGCAAACACCAATATGCGGCCCCTGGCGGTTTAGGCTTGACCCAAATGAAGAAAGGACGCAGTAGAAAGCCTTTGCAACTTAAACCTGTTGGTTTCGGAAATACTGTGGCCGGACCAAATCCTGCACCACCTAAGACACCCTCGGATGACAATTGCCCTGCAAATACCAATGAACAATGGTGTCAACTATGCTTTCCAAGTGGTTCGAAATGGATTTCGTCTATCCACAGTATCACCAATCTGCAAGTGTCACCAACTAACTCCCAAAACTCGAATTCAGAATCGGATCCCCAAGCATTCAGGACCTTTCTCATGGCTTTCGCTCGCAAAGTCCGCACACCAATTCCCTTCCAGACGTCCATTCTCACATAACTGCTATGAATCCCAAGAATTGGCATAGTTCACCATTGATGATATGTTTTTCTTGGGCCCCGGGTTCGTATATCTCCATAACTTATAGCCAGCTCCCCGCTTCGGGGGAACAAACCGCGCGAAGGCCATGGTAGAGTCCTCCTTGGGGATCCGATTCTTCATTCGGCTTCTGGACATATGGCCTGGGATCTGAAACCTGGGAGTGGCGGCCTGGGATTTGAACTGCTTGCAAAGGGGAAAAACAAAAACTTCTTAACCACCCAACCGCCGGGCTCCGAACCACCCGTGTTGGGGGAAGCCTCCATGTTGGGGGAAGCCTCCAAACCACCCGTGTTGGGGCCAGCTGAGAATGGAGAAAACGCAGAGAAGTACCCCAGGGTTCATTCCATTTCTCGCCCCCTTGAGCCTTGTTGAGGATTGAACCCCTGCTTCTCGTAGACGGACAATTAAAAACAAACAAACAAACAACTCCTTCACCCATCCAAACATCAAACTCCAAAAACTCCACTCATGTCGGGCAAAGCTGATTTCCCCGGCCCTACCCTCAGCCCCGGCCGGCGTTTTCCGCTCGACTCGCCCCCGGCCGCCCGGGTCGTTTGTTCCCCCGGCCGCGGAGGTGAAGAAGCGCAGCGCCAGAAGCTCGGGGCCCGTGAGGTCCAGGGCTTCCAGCTCCACCCTGGCTCAAGGCGAGGTCGGGGATGTTTCACCCGGCGAGCGGAGCGGCGCGGCGAAACTGGAGGGCGCACCCGGAAAAAAAAAACGGCCCCCAGAAGCCCGGGAACCAACACCTTGAAAGTTTGGGTGGGTTATTGAACATGTTGGGGAAAAATCCCGGAACAACACACCCAACATGTGTTTTGATGTTTTTTCTATTGTGTGTTTTTTTCGGTTTTTCCGAGAAAATCCAAAAACTGATGGTTTGTTTTGGAAAAGATAGGGTGTCACACTCAGAAGAAACCACAGCATGGGGGCGTGGAACAACTGCATATGTTGCAACATTGGTAAATATGGAGGTTCACGCCCAGACACAAAAAACAACAGGGGGGTTCCCTTGATAAATGTGTCATTTCCCTTTGGTGAAGCCAGGCAAATATTGAGTTTCACACCCAGAACACCCCCATACTGGCAAAGCTTCTTCATTCTGAGGGCCCCAGCAAGAAACTGAATTGTCTCCAACCAATAGAACAATCAAACGACATGAATGAATGAATGAATGAATGAATGAATGAATGAATGAATATGAATGGATATGAATGGATATGAATGGATATGAATGGATATGAATGGATATGAATGGATATGAATGGATATGAATGGATATGAATGGATATGAATGGATATGAATGGATATGAATGGATATGAATGGATATGAATGGATATGAATGGATGAATGGATGAATGGATGAATGAATGAATGAATGAATGAATGAATGAATGAATGAATGAATGAATGAATTCATCACATCAAATCAAACCAACACAATCAATCCAATCAAAGGAACTCAAAGTAATACCAAACAAACAAACAATCAAACAAACAAAGAAGCAAACAAACAAACAAACAAACAAACAATCAATCAATCAAACAAACAAACACACAAACAAACATACAAACAAACAAACAAACATACACACAAACACACAAACATACACACAAACACACAAACAAACAAACAAACACTCACACACACAAACAAACAAAAAAACAATCAAACAAACAAACAACCAAACAAACAATCAAACAAACAAACAAACAAACAAACAAACAAACAAACAAACAAACAAACAAACAAACAAACAAACAAACAAACAAACAAACAAACAAACAAACACACAAACAAACAAACAAACAAACAAACAAACAAACAAACAAACAAACAAACAAACAAACAAACAAACAAACAAACAAACAAACACACAAACACACACACACAAACACACAAACACACAAACAGCAAACAAACAAACACAAACAAACAGAAACACACAAGCACAACTCACTCACTGACTCACTCACTCACCCACTCACCCACCCACCCACCCACTCAATGAATCAACCGGTCAATCAATCCATTTATTCAATCAACCAGTCAGTCAGTCAATCAATGAGTCAATCAATCAATCAAACAATCATTCAACCAACCAACCAGCCAACCAACCAACCAATCATTCAATGAATTCAATCAATTCAAACAACTGTGTGTACAACACATAATAACAATGAGGAAAACACAGTAACATCAAACAACTCAATCAACACAATCAATCAATGAATCAAGGAAGCAGTGCATTAACAAACCAATGAACAAATGAACCAATGAACCAATGATTCGATGAGTAAATGAACCACTGAACCGATAAACAGATAAAGCAATTAATCAATGCATCAATGAATCAATCCATCCATCCATCCATCTTCTATCGTACGTACATCAATCAATAAAGTCAACGCAATCCATGCATCATGAACTCATGAATCAATGAATGATTCAATCAATCATTGAATCACTGAACGGCTGAATCAAGGAATCACTCAATCAACCAAGCGACCAACCAACCAACCAATGAGTGAACCACTGAGGAAAACCAAAAGGTGAACCCATAAATGAAATAATCAACCAACAAATCCATGAATCCATTAATGCACGGATGGACGTATGAATGGCTGTGGCCAGCTTTCCAAGAACGCCAAAGAAAGTCAACAAATCCCACATGCCAGGCGCAAGGGAACAGGCCCCTGGAAGGGTTCCACGGAAATAAGTCGACACGCACTCACCACTCACCCTTTCCTTGGTTGACGTTGGAAGGGGAGCAAAGACTTAAATTTTAGCAGTCAAGTGGTTGGATTCTCCACCAAACCACCATAAGCAAAAATGTAAAATGTTTCCCAACCACAACCATGTTTCCCACTCGCGACTCACAACAGTTTACGTGCATGTTCCGAGCTTTGTTTCTGATAGGAACAAGCTATGACCAGTGCTCCTCGAGCCAACTGCAGTGAAGCAGCAAGGGCAGGCATCTCTATTTACCGAATCCAAGAGCATTCTGAACAAACCAGGTTTTGAGCAAGGACGCTAGCCCACCCTTCATCTTGGCCATTCCGGCCACTGACATGGCAGCCAACTTGCTTGCTCGGACTAGGAATGTTGAAACTAGAAGGGGTTTCATACACACCTCATCGGGTTTTCAACTAAGAAACAACAGTTGTCGTTTATTGTTATTGTTTTTTCTCTTTAAGAGGGTTCAACAAAAAGAACAGTTGTTGTTTTCTCTTTCCCCTTAAGAGGGCAACTCAGCCGCAGCCGCTCAACACTGGCGGCGCGGCGTTTTGAGCAGTGGCACGTTACCACCTTGGAGCCAGGAGGCCGCAGGGATGTTGGGATGAGGTTGCAGGGTGGCCTTAACAGGCAAGGCAAATAATTCAAATGGGTATGCGTTAAAGTTGAACCACCAGGGACCGCAGGTTTTAGACCATGTTTCCATTTACCATGGTTCCACTTGGGATACCTATTTTTGACCCACAGCCAAACTCAGTCTTGGTTGCTGTTGACCCCTCTGCGAAAAGTTTAACTGTTGTGGATTAAATGGAAAGCCCTTGATTTCCCCCCCGAAAAAGATAAAGTCTAAAGGTCCCACCCAATAACAATCAAGGAGTTGTGGCTTTGTGAGTAACACCTCATTTTTTCCAGGGATGTCTGCAAGTCAAGGTATGAGTTTCTTTTTTCCCTCTCATTCCTGGTGCCCCCTCTCATGACTCGGACTTCAGGTTGCGAAGAGGCTTCAGCTGGCAGAGTCCCCAAGGTGCTTGGTGAAGGTACGAACGGACATCTGCCGGCAAAAAACCAGCTGTGGGAATCTGAGAAAACTGCACCCCCCGCAAAAAGAACAATAAAAACGAAAACAAAAGCATGACAAGCACATGAGATTTTCCATTATTACATCAACCATGCAAATGTGGGCAAGGCTAGGGAGGTCACAAAGTCAAGTACATTGACCAGCTCGAAAGACACGACTTAGTCGTGGCAAGTGGGTAAGCTCAACACTTAGACGGCGAGTTCTTGATTCCCCTGAACTACTATGAAATAACACCGTGTATTTGTAATCATGGCAAAACACAATGGCAAAACCACTCATGTGAGGAGTCAAGGGGGCCAGCGTTTCGTTGGACAACCCTTGCAGGGCTGTGTAACATGCCTGATGCAGTGGCAGGGCTTGTGTTTCTTTTTTACTGTCTTGCTTGACGCCGGTAAACCCTTCACAGCTGACCCACACTTTCATGTCACAGTCATGCCCTATTCACCGATGGTGGAAGAACTTTGAATGGGTCAAGCTGCAACGGGGTTGAACTCGTTCCGGCAAACGTACGCCATGCTTTGACGCGTTTGTGGCTTTAGCAGGCCTGTAAGCTGGATGACAAATATTAGCACTGTCTGCAGCGTTCCATCAAAAATGTCTTGCTAGCTCACTCACTCACTCAAGTTCGCACGGGGCCTCTGTGAGCGCAGCTGAATTATTGGGGGGGGGGGGATCAGGCCCGCCAAATGATGGCCTCAGACACTGGCCATACAGAATCGCCATCAGCACCAGTACTGCAGGCGCTGTGACCTGCGGGTTTGTACAGGCTTTCGCGAACTTCCATGTGCTTTTTTCGCCCGCGGGACAAAATGAGAACATATTCCATAGATCCAGTATGGAGTCCCTTTAAAACCAACAAGGGAAAATAAATAAACAAATATCTTGAGCAAATGGGAGTAATTAGATCAACACCTTGCCGTTTGGACTCTTTTAGACGGGCCAAAAGAAAAACAATCGGGGTGCTCAACGCCGGCAAGGGGCCTCAAAGCACTTTGGCAAAGGATTGCTGATCGAATGAGAGAATCTATCAATCCCCCGTTCTCAGAACTTGCTCTAACAAAGGCCACTTCAATATCCCCTATCTTGAAAATGATTTTGGCCAACTCCAAAAGCAAGCAGTGATCGAGTAAACACAAGCTGCTCCTTTTTGTGTTGGCTCTTTGTGTGACTTCTTGCCTGGTGGCTCCAGCTCCAGAATCTCTTCAAGCATTTGGCGCCAATTGGCTGTGTCAATCTCAAGGAAGTGTTGCAATTCTCCAAATGTTCAAAGAAAAGAAAGTGGTCAATCAGAAGTCTTGCTATCTTCGTCTGACGCCAACGACCCTCATTCTACAGCCAATCTTCAAGCAAGTGTCACACGCTCTGGGTCTTTTGAACCTCTTGGTGTATTTCAATCCGCAAAGCATGAACTTATATTGTCTGACTTCGACAATGCAGCAAGCTCCAGCCGTCCAACAGACCCGCAGCCGAAAGCCAGCCCCACCGGTGGCGTGCCCTTCTTTTTTCTCCCCGCACTCACCGGCTTCGCACAGACCTAGGTATCTTCCAACGTGGGCCAAAGGGCTCAATCCCAAAGCATCAAGTGAGTCACAATCGAGGGGGGGGGGGGCTTATGACTACCGGGAGGTCTGCTCCAGGGGTTGTATCAGGTGTTTCAAAACCGATCGGTAAAATCGTCTAGAGCCACTGGGGTCGCTCTGTTGCTATGAGGCGCAAAGCACAAATTCTCTACGGGGCCACTCGGGCATCGCGAACCTAGAGAGATGTGTCAACCACGCAAAGGACGCATACACGCTCCAATACTGTGCATGGTTGACAAAGACTCCATTTGGCACCACCGCAATCGGAATTGGGAACCAACTGGGTTCAACGATGAATTCCCAAGATAAATACCAAGAAGCAATGGTGCCAGCCATGGTTTCCGTATGGCTGTGGGTCAAAAATGGGTACCCAAGACGGAAACCCTGGAAAATGGAAACAGAGACTAAAACCCCGTGACCCTCGCTCTTTCATTTTGAGCCACACCCACATGGTGCGATTTCTGGATTTCGCAAGCACTTGAGCCTGCCTGGAGCCAGGTCCAAGGGACCCATCTTCGTCCAAGGTCGCGGAAAAAGGGGTCACTGGAGTTCCCCAACTCAAAAGCTGATCTTTGTTTACTGGTGTCCATTGAAACTGCCACATTCCCCTCCAACATGTTGATCCACAGGCTTCCCCAAATCAAAAGTTGATCAACTTACTGGTGTCCACTCTTGGAGGCTCCCTAAGGGCATGGGAAGCTTGCAACGCCTCACCGTCTTGGCTCCCACACGTTCTCGCCCGCTCTTGCAGCGCTTCCTGCGCTCCGGTTAGCCATCGGCTCGCTTGACTCTGGCGATACCACACGGTTCCTGGTCTCGGGGCATAACACATGCACCATGTGCATGTACCCAAGGTATGACAACGTATGACGAGGACCCAACCACTTGCCAAACTGGGCAAAACAGTGAAGAAGACAATTGCTTTGGTTCCTTTGAAGAAAAGCGGACCAACTCATGGGGCGCCCATGGCACTTGGGATAGTTCGCAGCTTTGTGAGACTGCTAGAAGCCCGCTAGCCATCCCTTGCTTCAGCACCACACACTTGAGAAATGGGTAGCTCAATTTGCTGAGGGGCTCTTAAATTTTGATGCCACATACATTCACCAAGCCAGCCGAACCCAAAGAAAGCACCAGGCCGCTTGGCTTGATACTCTCCAGTCATTCTCCAGTCTTGCGCGCTCGCCTCGTACATGTGCCGGAATGCAAGGTCAATGCGCATGAGGTTCTGCTCGAACCACGCGTCGTCGTACTCGCCTGAATGGGTACCGTTCCAAAGTCTGTCCATCAATGCGACGTGCTGGTAACTGTTACTCACTCTGCAAGTCACTAGGTGACGAGGTGCTGTTTGTGGACCTTTCGACATGATGGATTTCCGCACAAGGATATCGTTGAATAAGCAAGCAACCAAAGTACACATCCCCTGAAACATAACTAAAATAACTTGCACGGCTTTTGCAAGGCAGTATTTGCAACCGAGACGGGTGACAAATAATACGATTCTCACATACAAAAGGCGTGGTGCAAACATCGATAGAACTGGGTCAGCATACGCCTCACGCTGCATGTGCCAGTATGGCTCAGGCCAAACGAAGCGTTCAGAAAGCTACATGACATGTGGACTTGGCGCTTGCACATCAGGGGACTGTCCTGCACATCGAATAAGTAGCTGCAATAAATTTGGGAGATCGCCTTCTGTCAAAGGGTAAGCCATCATAAAGGTAGCTGAGGTTGGCAACACTTGGCAGACGGCTTCAAAAGGCTCCAAAACCTTGCCGAGCAGCTGTGGAAATCCCGCAGCCAGCGCAGAAAGAGCCCGTCGCGCGACACCGCTTCGTCTGGCTTAGCCTGTCCAACATGCCATGCGCGGCTTGCATGGTGTGACACAGTTTGGGCTCCCCCTTCGCATGAGCACAGCCTCAAGTCAGGAAATGATAAACGTAAGGGTCGCTTCGACTGCTGATATCACGGATTGGCTGGCCATCCAAACGCCAACGCCTGCCGGCTCGCAAGGTGGACAATCTGACGCTTTCATCGAAACAAGACTGGCCTCTAGGTTGTCCAAATAGTCGAAGACATGGTTCTTCACCTTGGTCTCAGTAAGTGAATGTCTGAAGGCATCCAACACCCTCTTTGCGACCCTTGGTCCCTGTTCCGAGTTCCACCCTCAATGTACACTAACACACACACACACACACCCACACCCACACCCACACCCACACGCACACGCAGACGCAGACGCAGACGCAGACGACGCAGACGCAGACGCAGACGCAGACGCAGACGCAGACGCAGACGCAGACGCAGACGCAGACGCAGACGCAGACGCAGACGCAAACGCACACGCACACGCACACGCACACGCACACTCACACTCACACTCACACTGCACGCACGCACGCACACGCACGCACGCACGCACGCACGCACACGCACACGCACACGCACACGCACACGCACGCACACACGCACACACGCACACACGCACACACGCACACACGCACACACGCACACACGCACACGCGCGCACACACACACACACACACACACACACACACACACACACACACACACACACACACACGCACACACACACACACACACACACACACACACACGCACACACGCGCTTATATGCATATATACCCTGCGAACAAACGCAAACAAATCACAACTGCGCAAGTTAACACCAATACGAAGACACAAACACACACTTGCATTAACACACGCACAAGCAAACACACAAACACAGCGACACACTAAAACATGCACTAGTTCACGCACGCGCGCACACACACACACATACACACATGCACACTCTAATTCTCTGTCATACACAAACACAAGCAACACACACACACACAGATGTGCGCATACACACGCGCGCACACACACACACACACACACACACGCACACACGCCACCCCAGAAGCACAATCCAACTTCCCCTAGGTTCATGTTTAGAGGTGTGTTGAGACATCATCCTTGCCAAGCCTGCTGCTCTTGCCCTCTGCCTCCCGACTGCTGCACCCTGGGATATTGATGACTGCAAAAAGCAGCAAGAAAACTTCGCACCAGAAGATCTTTTGAAGCTTGCGAGCAGGTAAAGAGTCCGAGGAGTCGGCAGCAATGACAGCGTCAAGGTGCTTCAAAGGTCTTATTAGTGACCTGTCTTCAACTGTCTTCCCATGATGCAGATTCGTGTCAATGTTTGCAAGTTTGCTGCCTCAAAAGAAACACCTCAAAGACGGAATGTTTACCCCCTACAACTGCGTAGCTTCCAAAATCACTTGGGCAGGACTTCCGGCTGAGCTCTTCCAAGTAAACCCAGCAAAAAGGGTGTCTTAGAAGTTGTCCTTTGAAACCCGTAACGCGGTTCGTCTGAGACATTTCCTGTGCGACGAATTGACGTCAAAACAAACCCAATCCCTAAAACTAAGCCTCAAGAGTCCCCCTTGCCCGGGGGCTCCCCTCTTGTTCGGCTTCCAACTGTATTTCTGTATTTCCATGGGGTCCCCCTTGACAGGTGCTCTTTTTGAGGTTGGTTTAAGGGGAAAATAACGGGGTCTCCCACAAATTTGAGGCTTCCCCTATCTTCAGACACACCCGTTTCTCTATTTCCACTGAGTTTCTACTTCACAATTCACACCCATTGGCCCCTCTCTCCCTTCCTCATCTACCATTTGCTTAAGCCCCCTCCACAAAAAAAAAAGAGTAGTTCCAGTAGTGAATCGATTCCCCTTAAAAACCAACAGGGAAAAACAATCTTCGATCGCTCGCGTCTAGGCGGCGATCTGCGCGCTGTCCGCGTCCGCGGCGCGCTGCAGCCGCTCCTCCGCGCGGCGCTCCAGCGCCTGCTGCCGCGCCACACGCAGCTGCGCCTAGCACCGAGCGGACGAGCTGCGGACGAGCGAGCAGCAGGCGGCCGAAACGGCGGCCCGGGTGGGGCTGGGTGGGGCCAGGTGGGCGCCCTAAAAACCGGGAAAAGGGCTGGGAAGATTTTGGGGGGGTATGAGACTAAGTCCTGCAGATTTGAGAGGTTAGAAGTTGGTACCCGACTTGTTTTTGAGTTTTGTCTATTTTAGTAGGGGAAGCCTCCCAACCCAAAAAAAGTGAGAAAGGGCAACAATGGGGGACCTAGCCAACAAATACTGTGGAGGATGTCGCGAATCC